TTTCCTGGCTACAAAACCATACCTAGTATTTCTCAAACTATTTAAATGAAGGATTGCTTTTTCCCAAGTGTCCATGGGTGAATATTTTTAGGAAGATAATAAAATGAGGTCTATTTGAACAATTTAGTAAGAGAAACCAAAATATAAATGTATAAACCCATTTTTCAGGTTACTGGAGCCAACAAACAAAATTACTTTCTCAAATTGCTATGAAGGATATAAATGATTCCCCACAACTCCTGCTGTTATTTGGTCCTGGACTGACAGTGAAGAGTTTGCCAGCCAGCGCCAGTCCAGGCACTACAGTTTGAGTAATACTGGACTGTGTTTTGTTCCTGCATACTTATACTCCATGGCTTTCCCCACTACCTGAAGCCCTCAATTAAGGGAACTTTTGTCCACAGAGATGTAATTAGAACCCTGGTGGCACTGACTCTTGTACTTATCTCCCACCAAATTTCTATTTCAACAGTTTTTTCTCCAAGTCTCTGGACAAAGCTTCTATCAGGATCCTCAGAAGTATACATTTTGTTAGGAACTGGACCTTCTACTTACGCCAGCTTAATGAGACACACAGCACAAGTCACTTCTGGAGAACAAACCTAGGAAACTTTACGTCACAGGGGCAAGCAATAATGCCCAAGGGGATCCATCAAACTCTATTACAGCCTTCACTTCCTCCCAGCACACACACAGACACCCACCCTCGTCCTCATAGAATGTATGTAACTATGTTCTTGATGGAAGGGGAGGATTCAGTGGTTTTCACTGCCAGGTATTCAGTGCACAACTACTTGTAAATGTAGTGGAAAACATCTGCTTTATTACATTCTCTTTGGAATCAGTATCAGCAATTCTGGCTCTGAAAGGTGAGTGCAATAGTCATGGATTTTATTTAAACTTGTATTCATTCAATGAGAAATTAAAAATAAACTCTGTCAACAACTTTAGCTCTCTAGTCCTGTTGAAACTGTGGCCTCAGCAAAATTTGCATTGCAGAATGGTCATCCTGAACACCCAAAGCAAGCTGCCCAGGAGACCCCAGAGAAGTGTGGATGGTCTACAGCAGTCAGAGCCACTGCTAAGCTTGTATTACTGCAGCTAAGATAATGAAATCAAGAAGAAACCAACTGATATTCAGGTTGGATGAGGCACAGAGCATAGGGGGCTATGCGTTCTCTCTATCATCAAAGTGACCAGTGCATTGAAGGAAGGGATATTTGAGTTTCAGAACCCCTGAGCCAGCTGAAGAAGCATCAATAGGATGTTTATAGAAAGAACCCTAAGTAGCCAGTAGAGAGGACAGGAAGGGCAAGAATTAGTTATGAATCATTACACTTCTCATCAAAAATTAAATAATTGAAAACCTACCAACACATCATTTGTACTTAATGAAAAATAACTATTTAGCTCTGACCAAACACCTTTGAGTACTTTTCAGATATCATTTCTTTTAATCTCACAACAAAGCTGAGTTATAGGGACAATTATTCCCATTTTAAAAAGAAACAAAATAAAATAAAATAAAAAATAAAAAGAAACAACAAGAGAGTCAGAGATTTAAGTCTCATGTGCAAGTTAAAATATCTGGTCACTGGGAGGATCTGAGTTTTCCATCTCCAGTCTCCATGACTGCTGTCAGCAAGACTGAAGCTCACACTGTGTGCACAGTGAGTGCAGGATTGGTCCCCCTTAATTCTTCTTGAGCCAGAAGGCAAAGATTATACATGCTGCTCAGTGCTTGGCTCAGTCCTCAGATGAGAGGATGTTCAGAGGCTGAGAGCAGAACCGTAGGGGACCTGAAAAGTATACCACGGGATGAATGGGAAAAGGATTTGTGAATGTTAATTTTGCAAAAGGGGAGACAATTAAGCCATGCTCTGCTTAGTTGCTCAGTCGCGTCTGACTCTTGGCAACTGCATGGACTGTAGCCCACCAGGCTCTTCTGTCCATGGGGATTCTCCAGGCAAGAATACTAGAGTGGGTGGCCAAGCCATCCTCCAGGGTATCTTCCCAACCCAGGGATCGAATCCAGGTCTCCTGCATTGCAGGTAAATTATTTACTATCTGAGCCACCAGAGAAGCCCGAGAATACTGGAGTGGGCAGCCTATCCCTTCTCTGGGAATCGATCCAGGGTCTCCAACATTGCAGGGGAATTCACCAACTGAGCTACCAGGGAAGCCCATATTCAAGTATCAGTGCCTTGATATTGAAAGGAGATGACTTGTGCCAACCACACAGAGAATCAAGTGAAAAACTAAAAACAGCTTTTTCATGATAGAGCCAACATCCCTGGCAGTAAGCTTGCCTCTCACTAGAGTAATTTAAGTGCACTTACAGAAGATGAATCAAAAGGAACACATGGTTTAATGAATTGAAGATTCTTAGCTGTTGGCTCATAATACCTCACAATTCATTCTGTCAAAATCCCATCACTGGAAACAATAAAGGCTGGAAACAAATAAACAATATTCTAAAGTAAGGAATTAAGAATGGTGAATATATTTTATACTTATATTTATCATTTATGGTAAATGTTTAAAATCTTAAGAATGGAAATAATGTTAGCAGAAAATTGTCTATGAAAATTAGAAACAATAACAGTAAATAGAAAATTTCATGTTTGGGTTAATGTGACTCCTAAAAGTACAAAAGTGGTAAAGAAGTGTATAGGGACATATGTTTCAAAAAGTAATTAGTGATAGAATATGAAGCTCCATGAATATTGTACTAAGGAGTTGGGCCATATATTCCATCTAGCATATTCATTATACAAATCATGCCTAAATTCATTTAACATGTTCTCTCCAGCACATTTTACTCCCACACAATAGTTATTTGTGATGCAGGGATACACACCATTTTGAGGAGACTATGTATTAATTGAGAAGAATAAAATATAAACAAGCAAAAAACCAAACAAAACAAAATCCAATAAACCAGTACAAAGAATGGCAATCTAGACATCTTCAAAGCATGATGTCCACACAAAGGAAATTTATCTGATTACACCTTAGATGTCAGAGCAGATTTGGTAGAGAAATGAACTTGCAGGATGAGTAGAAGTCACCTAGGATAATGATGGTGGGAAGTTGGGGGCCATCCAAGTGAGAGCACAAGGATTAAAGGTCAGAGAGGGTAAGTGCACTAAGGGGACTCTAAAGTGTTCAGGAAGGTTGAATCAGTGCAAGTGTTGGATGGAAACATCCTGAGAGACAAGCAAAGAGTCATATGCAGGGGATACATCAGAAAGTATACACTGTGCTGTGCTAAGGAGGACAGGTTTCATCTTGGAGGCTAAAGAAAGCAGGAAAGACTTGAAAGAATCACTTTGGCATTACCTTTTACTTCAATAAGAGATCACTTTGGCAGATGTATTGTGAATTATAAAGGCACAGAACGAAGACAGGGAGGCAAACGGACGAATACAATAAAAGAGAAAAATAAACAGGGCCTAAAATGATTAGGATACTAGCAGTGTAAATATGGGAATGGATTAATAAAATGGAGAGCTAAATTGTAGATAGTATCAGTAGGATTTTATTAGATGTGGTACAATGATAAGAAGGCTAGGATCACTTCCATGTTTCAGACATGAGAGAGTAAGTGGATTGTGGAGTCATTCCACAAACACAGGACACAGGAGTGGTCTAATGAAACGATGAGTTTGGTCTGGAGAAGGCTGAGTTTAAGGTATTTGTGGGATTTCTAGCTGGAGACTTCCAAGATAACTGAACTTATAGAACTGGATCTTGGGAGACAGATATTTCTAGAAATAAGGTTGGAAAGATATTATACAATAAACATTAGACAAATAAAAGAATATAATTGAGGTCCCAGAAAGTGAGATTGAATCATTCTTCTTTTGTGAAAAAAGACATCCCCCCCCCGACACACAAAAAATCCTGTTCAGCACCATATTTACAGCTAGGCAGAGGGAGAAATTATTGTGAATAAGTGTAATGAATAACCAAGAAAAAATAAGAATGTATAGAATAAAAACATTCTTAATGAATTTTCAAATTTCCCTCAACAGGAACAATTCCCAGAGGAGATGGAGGTTGGAAACCACACCAGTGTGACAGAGTTCATCCTTTTGGGGTTAACAGAGGATCCTACACTTTGTGTCATCTTTTTTGTGGTCTTCCTAGGAATCTATGCTGTCACCTTAGTAGGCAATATCAGCATAATTATTCTAATAAGAACCTGTTCCCACCTTCACACCCCCATGTACCTCTTCCTCAGTCATTTGGCTCTTGTGGACAGTGGGTGTGCCACATCTGTCACACCTATGATGCTTATAGGATTCCTGAGACAAGGAGTGACCATCACTGCTGCTGGCTGTGAAGCCCAACTGTGTTTTGTGGTCATGTTTGGGTCAGCTGAGTGCTTCCTGCTGGCTGCCATGGCCTACGACCGCTATGTGGCCATCTGCTTGCCCCTACTCTACTCCACCCACATGTCCCCCAGAGTCTGTGTTCTCTTGATTGGGGTATCCTACCTGGGTGGGTGTGTCAATGCTTGCACATTTGCTAGTTGCTTACTGACTCTGTCTTTCTGTGAACCAAATCACATAAATGACTTTTTCTGTGATTTCTCCCCTCTGTTGAAACTTTCCTGCTCAGATGTCTCCACTATTGAAATTATCCCTTCCATCTCTTCTGGATCTATCCTTGCACTCACAGTGTCTGTCATAGCTCTCTCTTACATCTGCATCCTCAACACCATCCTGAAGATGCGCTCCACTGAAGGGAGACACAAGGCCTTCTCCACCTGCACCTCTCACCTCACCACAGTCACTCTCTACTATGGAACGATTACCTTCATTTATGTGATGCCCAAATCCAGTTACTCAATTGACCAGAACAAAGTGCTGTCTGTGTTCTACACAGTGTTGATCCCCATGTTGAACCCCCTCATCTATAGTCTGAGGAACAAAGATGTAAAGGAGGCCCTGAGAAAGGTAATTCTAAGAATATATTCTTAGGATCCATTCCCAACATATCAGATGCTTGTTCATCAGCATTACATTTGTGTGTGTGTGAGTGGTATTCGCTCAGTTGTATCCGACTCTGTGCAACCCCATCAACTGTAGCCCGCCAGACTCCTCTGTCCATGGAATTTTCCAGGCAAGAACGCTGGAGTGGGTAGCCATTTCACTCTCCAGGGGATCTTCCCGACCGAAGGATTGAACTGGAGTCCCGTGTGTTGCAGGCAGTTTCTTTACTATCTGAGCCACCAGAGAAGCCCACCTACCAAATACTGTTTAACTGATTGCTTAAATTTAAATCACAATATTTCTAATTCTCACTTATATACACTTATAAGCCAGTTGGGAGACATCTTGAAATCAGTAATAATGACAGTAATTACTTTCACTATTACATGTTAACACTTGCAAATGCCTAGAACTTTTTCTTTGATAATTTCTACTTATAATATGTCCAGCCCTATTCTAAGTACATTGGTATATTAGCTGGCTTATTTCTTGTAAAAATCCTACATTAGTAGTTCTTATTTCTATTTTATAAATAAATTATCTGACACACAGGGACATTAAGTAGATTGCCCAGAATGATACAGCTAGGAAGTTTTTCAGTCAGTCTTTGAATCCAGAAAGTCTGAGTCCAAACCACCGTGCTTCTTCATTTAATTTTCACAGAAATCTCATGATGCTGCTTATTAAAAAATTACCTCAATTTATAGATGAGACTGCCAAGTCTCAGAGGGATTCAATAGCTTGAGAGATATGGACCCAAGTCTCAGATTCACTTGGAATCAAGTCCTCTCATTCCATGCACTTATCTACTCTGTAAACATAATCCATTCGAGGACTTCAGCACTGTTACTGATCTAGAGGATTTGAGCAAGATAAGAAATCCTAAACTGTTTCTTTTCATCAGCCTTCTGAAAAAACTCTACTCCCAGTAAGTCTAGATTATGAGGACTTCAAAACAAGTATGAGAATGCAAAAACTGGATTGGTTTACATCTACAAAAATTTGACTGGAAGTCTAACTATATTTAAGCACATATTACAAATACTCCCATTTGGCATAATGTAGTTTTCCTTAGCTGTAGAAACTAAAAAGGGTATCTCTGAATTAGTATTCCAACTAATGTGATAACATTCAGAGTTCCAAAATTTAGATTTATAAAAAACTTAATTAATAAGTGCTGCCAAATATTGTAGTAAATGTATTTCTTACATAATAATCTACCCTTATTTTTTCTGGAGTTCAGGAACTCCTAACTCAGTGTAAATACTGAGACAACTTTTTAGAGCATCTGAAAGCAAGACTTCGATTATAAAAGCCCTTGACTCAGTGTAATGGGAAGAAACAAGTGAGGATTGGGAGACATAGTAAGAAGCAAAATGGGATATTATTTATAATACATTGCTAAGTTAAAATGTAGATTATCTGTCATATTCTGGCAAATTTTAGGTGGAAACATACAACGATTAAACAAAACAAGGATAAATTAAGATATGTGAAATGATCAAATAATGGATAAAGGAAAACATTCTCTAACCACAACACTTCTGACACCAAATTTGTGGTATTTTTCCCCCATATCAACCAACTGGAATACCAGTATGTTCTAAATATCCAGACATCAAATTGACATTATATTATTTCATTCAATTCTGACACTAACTCCCTGGAGGTACAGTCAGAACTCACAGGTTTAAGACTCAGTTCCACAACTCTGCCCTCCCTTCTGACACCAGTTGCAAGTAATGGGTCCTCAAGGTATCCACATTTCTGTCCAACTTGGCTACAAATCAAGGATTCCCACAGGCCTCTTCCAGGTTTGAGAGTTTGTTAGAATGACTCAATAAAATTCTCTGAAGCATCTGCTTACATTTACCAGTTTAACATAAAAGATTATTATAAAGGACAACTCAACAACCAGATGGAGAGACACACTGCACCAGGTCTGGAAGGGTCTCCAGGCCAGGAGTTTCTATCACCAGAAAGCTGAAGTGTATAATTTGGAGTGTATAACCCTTCTAGCACATGAATCTGTTGCCCAAATTGGAAGCTCTCCACCACATAGTTTAGGAGTTTTACAGAGGCTACGTAAAAAGTCTCCAGTCTCACTGCAGAAACACACACGAACATAAAGTTCCAAGTTTATAATCATGGTTTGATCTTCTTGGTGGCCAGTCCTCATCCAGAAGCTATCCAAAATCCCACCGAGAATCTTCTCATTCCAACAAAAACACTCCTATCACCTAGGAGGTTCCAAGGGATTCAGGAGCCCTGTGTCAGGAACCAGGTTTAAAGAATATTTAAACAAAAGATGCTTCTAGCACCCTTGTCATTCAAGAAACTGCAAGAGTTTTAGAGCCCTATGTTAGGAACTGGGGGTAGAGACCAAAGATTTATTTCTATTATATCACAGTCAAAGACCTGGTATGTGGCTATGGACCACTCATAGCAAATGACCATAAAGAATGAAGATATTGGCACACTGTTAGAATTCCATTCTGTCATTAATAATTATTCATTTCATTATCATAACGTATGAAAAGGTCCCCCAGGGTGAGTCTATTCAGGTTTACAGGCTTCCAATTTATCTTGTCAGGTTCTAAGCACAGGAGTGGTCTCAGCAACATACGGCTTCACTCTTCCAGGCATCAGGTTTAACTGAGCTAGGAGTCAGATTTATCACTTGCTTTGAGTCTCTTTTGAGTCTCTCTTCTATTACTAGAATACTGAATTTTTAATAAATAGCAGTTGTAATTGTCCTGTAAAAATCCCAAGTACATACTGACTAGTATGACCAGCGCTTTAATTATGTGAACTCTGAAGTCCTGTATACAAGACTAGCTTCCCTCTGGACATTTTGTACCCATATCTCAGTGGTCAGAGTGTCTGTATTTTACCTCAGGTATCATATGAGCATTGCTAATTGGGAATTATGTGACAAACAATAATTTTCAGGTCTGTTAAGATTTATATATATCTCTTGGCATGTGTGTGCTAAGTCACTTTCACCATGTCTGACACTTTGTGACCCCATGGACTAAGGTCCAGGCTTCCCTCTACATGGGGTTTCCCAGTCAAGAATACTGAGTGGGTGGCCATTTCTTTCGTCAGGGGATCTTCCCAATCTAGGGATCCAACTCACATCTCTTACCTCTCTTGCATTGGCAGGCAGATTCTTTACCACTAGCGCCACCTGGGAAGCCCATCTCTTGACATACTTACGAGTAATTCTGGGGAAAAGAGAAGGAGGTGGCCTCAAACATTGACAATTCCCTGCCATTGTGACCTCCAAATACAAAAGGAACATTTAATCAAGGCCTTTTGGTTATTTTACATGTAGATATGGGATAGTTATTCATTCATTTCAAAAATACTTGTGAGCCCTGATTATACTGTAGAAACTAAGTAAACACTGAAGATATTTTAATAAATTGACAGATATATAATATGTAATAGAACAGAATTCTCATGTAGCTTAGATTTTTGTGGGGGGGGGAATAAATATTATAAATGCAGAACGTATGAGTGGCTGGATGATACAAATCAGTTGAGTTGATATGATTTCTAAAAGATAACTCTGCTGGTATGGGTGGTGACTCCCAGTGATAGTATGACAGGGAAGGCCACTGGAGGAAGTGATAGTTGAGTAGAATGTTGAAATATAAAAAAGACCAGAGCTGCTAGACAGAAAACAGCTTGTGCAAAGATTCTGAGAATCTCAAGAAATAAAGACCTACAAGATCTTTTAGAACTAACACCCAAAAAAGATGTCCTTTTCATTATAGGGGACTGGAATGCAAAAGTAGGAATCAAGAAACACCTGGAGTAACAGGCAAAGTAGCCTTGGGGTACAGAATGAAGCAGGGCAAAGGCTAACAGAGTTCTGTCAAGAGAATGCACTGGTCATGGCAAACACCCTCTTCCAATATCACAAGAGAACACTCTACAGACGGACATCAACAGATGGTCAACACCAAAATCATATTGATTATATTCTTTGCAGCCAAAGATGGAAAAGCTCTACACAGTCAGCAAATACAAGACCAGGAGCTGACTTTTTCTCAGATCATGAACTTCTTATTGCCAAATTCAGATTAAAATTAAAGAAAGTAGGGAAACCCACTAGACCATTCAGGTATGACCTAAATCAAATCCCTTATGATTATACAACAAGTTGGATTATTTTAAAAACTGTTTCAAGTAGGGTATGCAAATAAAAAACTCAGTTTCTTCACAAATATATTTATTAGTCTAGACTTCGCAGGAATTATCTCAATTCCTAATACAACGAAACCTAAATCTTTGTTTTAGCATTCCTCAACATCCACAAAAAACTGAATGACATTTCATTTCTTCTTATAACTTACTTATGACTCTTTCCAAGTTTTTCATATAGAAAGACAGTAGAATATGAAAATATATTTAAAACCAGAGGCTATCATCTGGCTTGGCAACTTACTAGCTTTGTGACTATGAATAAAATCTTAATCTTGCTGAAATATTAATGCTGTCCCCACTCACTGACTTACTACAAGTATTAAATAACATAATATAGAATATATAATGTAGATGGTGGAGCCAGACCCAGAATATTACCTAGTAATATTTTCAGCATTCAAAGCAATTGATCTCCCTGAGATCAAGTATGCTACATATTCTCTAAGTTTTGTATAACTTTTGTGAATTCAAGTCTTGAATATTTTCTAAGTTTTCAGTGTATGGGTTTCATTGGAATATTTACCCATTATAAAAACACTCACTAAATATATATAATGGGCCATTCTATTGTGTACTATTGTAAACAAATACAAAAATATAAAAAATAAAAATAAGCATAATGTATTTATTTATTTTAAATAAACTAACAAGGACTTAGCTTTTATAATGCTTATAGGCAAACAAAGACATATAAACAATTATGATAAATATTAGTTGTGCCTTGATAAGGAGGGTGATCATATAGTTTGTTGTCCCACTAGGATAATAAAGAAACAGTCTATATATAGTGTATATAGTGTATTTAGACATATATACTACCATTATATATATACATATATATGCAAATATTTTGTGGAAATAACATTCAAATTGTTTGTAAACATTATTGAACTTAAAGGATCATTTCACTTTAGGTACTTTCTTATTCCATAAATATAATAAATACAATCACTATAACATCAGCAGAGAGGTCTGTGTAATTTCTTAACTTTAAGGAATTGATTTCAAGGGTCTACACTACAAAACTTCAATGAGATGATTAGATATTTCCATACAACATTTAAAACATATGTCAAAAACATCAATTTCCATTATTCATATAACTGTGAATAATGATATTTAGGAATACTATATAATGGTGATTTAAAAATGAATGTTATTCCAGTTTTTTTTTTCATATTTTCAAATTAGGTAAAACCAGAAATAAAACAGAGAAGGCAACCCTTCCCAGAACCTCATTAGTCTCTGTATAATTCTTAATATCTACTTGTCTTCTCTCCATTATAATTGATTCACTCCAGTCAAACTCAATTAGCTAATAATGTTTTTATATTTCTGTGTNTCTGAATGTTGAGCTTTAAGCCAACTTTTTCACTCTCTTCTTTCATTTTCATCAAGAGGCTCTTTAGTTCTTCTTCACTTTCTGCCATAAGGGTGGTGCCATCTGTGTTTTTGAGGTTATTAATATTTCTCCTGACAATCTTTATTCCAGCTTGTGCTTCATCCAGCCTGGCATTTCTCATGATGTACTCTACATATAAGTTAAATAAGCAGGGTGACAGTATACAGCCTTGATGTACTCCTTCTCCATTTTGGGACCAGCCTGTTGTTCCATATCCAGTTCTATCTGTTGCTTTTGACCTGCCAACAAGAAGAAAACAAGTGTTGACAAGAATACAGAGATAAGGAAATCTTTGTACACTGTTAGTTGAAATGTAAATTGGTATAAAAATGTTTAAAACTAAAACTGGATATGATTTAGCAATTCCACTTTGGGGTTTATATGAAAAACAAAATGAAAAGAGGAGTTGAAGAGGTATCTGCACTCTTACATTTATTGCAGCCTTACGACACAATGCTGGACAAAGTTTTCCTAAGGAAACAATGCAAAGGAATAGAGGAAAACAATAGAATGGGAAAGACTAGAAATCTCTTCAAGAAAATTAGAGATATCAAGAAAATATTCCAGGCAAAGATAGACACAATAAAAGAAAGAAATGGTATGGACCTAACAGAAGCAGTCGATATTAACAAGAGGTGGCAAGAATACACGGAACTATACAAAAAAATATCTTAATGACCCAGATAACCA